TTACGCCGCACTCAACAATATTCCAGCTATATGGCAGCGGTCTGTAAATAATCGAGTCTGGACCAGACAATCCAGTGATCAACAACATGAGCATCGATCTGCGCAATTGGGAACTGATGACATGTGTCAACCATTTCGGCGAGCCTGACCACCCGATCCCGTTAGTCGCCTCTTACGACAAGCATGGGTTACTGAAGGCCAATATTCTAACCAAGACAACTTACTAACGTCGGTATTCCGTTTGCCATACAAGTAACAATTCAAAATGGAACATTAGTCAGGGGCCTCGTTTCGTTCTTTTCGCAACATACATTTTAAACTTTTAAACGAAAGTGCTATTTTATCTCCCGAACAAATAGCATATCAACTTTTCAACATATCACTCTTTCCGGAGTGCCCAAAGTAATGAAATCATCATGTCTACTTTACATGTCATTTCCATGTAGGAACTGTATTTCCTTGAAAGTATGTGTAACGACATTTTGGAAAGTCGAGTGTGCTTGTCGATATTCACATTTCTACTTCCTCGTTAATTCCAGGAAAGGCAAAGACACCAATAGCAACTGCTTTGTGGATACATTATGCGTATTCCCACGGAACACACGGCTTTACAAGGGAAAATTGTACATATTTTACATGTACAGAGTGAGTGAGTTTAGTTTTACGCCGCTTTTAGCAATATTCCAACAATATCACGGCGGGGGACACCAGAAATGGGCTTCACATATTGTACCCATGTGGGGAATCGAACCCCAACCTAAGCTTGGCGGACTGGATCGGGCGTTCTGGCTAAGCAGTAGACTAACGCTTTGTGTCTGGATATATTTAATTTTGACAGAAAGAAACATTTCTCATAAAATTGAAAAGGAGCCCCAGTGAACTGGGAGCTGAACCTGAGGAAACCTAGGCTTGCTTCACCTAGGGTATTAGCATTGCAGAAAGGGCTAGGACGAGGGATAAATAATGCGGTTCAGGGACTGTGAGACAGACAAGCTCCATAAGGTGCATGGCATCGTCTCCCGGTTAAGTGGATCAATACTCGTATTGATTACTGAATTTATATCTGGATTGATTGGAACAGCGTCTTATAGCTGGAATATTGCTGAATGAGGCATAACAAGAAAAAAGAAAGAAAACAAGCATTGTCACTAAGGTGAAATAATCCCCCGCCGCAGATTATCAAATCAAACTTAAAAAGTAATGAAAGTTTAAGATGAAGTTAAATGTCAACAAAAACATGACCAGTCAACCTCTTTTGACATCTTGCTGTTTAGTTGTTCAAACACACACATATTTTCAAGACTGACTTTGACCTTGACATGAATGTTATAGTGTATGAAATATGCAAAAATGGTAGTAAAGAAATTGCTTATTGAAAAACATTCAAGGGAAGTGTTGAAAGTCTATGAAGAAGAAAGGCATATAAATTGAAAGCTATGTCACCCACATACAAGTGGGGCCTGAACTGGCAGTCTCTGAGGCATATGACATGTTATACTAAAGGTTACCGATACAAAACGCATACTGAACGTTATATCATCCGTAGTGTTTGTCTGTTGACAGTACGTAGGGAAGTAGGGAAAAGCCAACCATATCCACATATTACGAACTAGGTGGACTTTCGTCGTGCCTGAGTGCGCCTGGAAATGGCCGAGTCTGGACGGGACAAACCAGTTACATGAATCAGCTCGTATGCCATGGGTGAATGAGTGGATGAGTGAGTGAGTTTGCTTTAATGTCAGTTGTGAAGGTGTTTCGGGTACAAATGAGTTTCTCCTACAACCTGAACTTGTCCACCGCCTCCGTGGTGTAGTGGTTAGAGCGTCCGCCCGGAGAGCAGAAGGTCGCGGGTTCGATCCCCCGACCGCGTCATACAAAAAGACGAGAAAATATGGTACTTGTTGATCCCTGCCTGGCTCTCGGCATTAATGGGTACAACAAGGACTGGTCGGCTCGGAGTCAGTATAATGTGTCTGTGTGGGGTATTCATGCTTCACTGCTGCTTGGTATCTCAGTGGGCTAGCACTATAAAACCAGCTTAAGTTTGGGCTAGTACAAGCAGCCGTACATACACATACACACGCATGCACATCGTCATCTGAGCGAAATATTCCCAAGCACGACGTTAAACCTAATTTCATCTCAGCTGAACTTGTCCCAGTATGACGCAATGGATCAGCGGTCAGGCTTGGTGACAACTGACACTCTAGTTATATAACAGCCTGCAGCCTGAACTGATGCAGCGGACAACACGAAGTTGTGCAGGACGTGGAGTGAGTCAGTTAGTGAGTATGGTTTACGCCACTTTTAGAATTATTCCAGCAATACCACGAAATGGTAGAATCCAGAAATCCAGAAATGAGCTTCACACATTGTACCCATGTGGAGAATCGAACCGGGGTCTTCAGTGGTTAAAGCGTTCGCGTCACGCCGAAGACTCTGGTTCGATTCAACATATTAGTACAATTTGTGAAGCCCATTTCTGGATTCCCCGACCTGATATTTCTGGAATATTGCTAAATGCGGCGTAAAACCACACTCACTCACTCACTCACCTAATCTTTGGGGACGCATCTCCCTGCGTAGTGAATTGTGGCGAGGGGGCCACCACCATGTCTCCGGCGTGAACGAGCGAATGTGACAGACTGTAAGATCTAAATGTACGAACAATGCCAAGGTGGGATTCGAACCCGCGACCAGAGGTTTCTGTAGCCTATTGTTGGGGGACGCATCTCCCTACACGGTGAATTTAGGCGACGGGGCCATTATCTCCGTAGTGTTAACGAGAGAGCGGAAACCTCCCCTGTCTGTTATCATTCACTGTGGCCACGTGGGAACAGTAACACTGCGTACCAGTCGTTGCCTGGTGCATGCTATTCCCGCTGAACCCAACACCAATACCAGTTATCGTTTCGTCATGTGTTGACTGGGTTCGGTCTATCTGTAACATCACACAGCTGGCTGCGCGGCCCAACAGCGGAACCTGTAGATACAATGTTGTTGGAGTAGAAGTGGCTTACAAAGACTAGTAGTGTCACAACACCGAAGACAGTTCCACACGCCGCATACAAAACTGTTTCAGTGAGCAATCACGAAACAAGGAAACATATATAATAGCAGTAAATCTGAGACTGAACCTTGTCTTTTAGCGTGATGCTTGTTTGTGAGAGGTGAAATGTTTAATTCATTTTGAATTTACAACTGTGCCTTGTCTGTCAAGAGTGAAACTGCATTAAAACGCCGGTGGAGACAATTGTTTCTAAGCCCATGGTAACTTCAATGTTGACATCGCTCTAACAATAACAAACTCCGATTTTCCCACACCTGTAATTTCCTTATACTGTTTTTACACTTTTTGGGAATATCAAATTCCCGTGGAAAGCGGCACTTCCTTCTTCCTCCAGTGAGGAGTCTCGTACACATGACACTATTTTCAGATCTACAGAAATCCTAGTTTCGTTCCTTCCTCAACAGTCATTGCAAGTAAGAGTTGCCTCCCCTTATACTTGAGTCTCACATTTGTAACCCATGCGTTTCCCTGTCTGATGAGGTGGGATGAACTGGGGTTTAACGTCGCTTTCAAGGCTGTTGCGCATATGTGCATGCACTCTGTGGTTCTTAAACTGCTGATGTTATAGTGCTAGCCCACTGAGATACCATGCCACAGTTTAACAGTCTAGACTTGATTATTTACAGACCGCAGCCATATAGCTGGAATATTGTTAAGTGCGGCGTTTAACAAGAAACAAACTAAACCCAAACATAAAACAGTACATCGACTTTGGCCCGGCCATTCCTTGTTTAAAGGCTTAAATGATTATCTTTGGAAGGGTACCATCTTTCGGAATGATGCGGCCGAGGATCAACCCACAGACTTTCCTCTCTCCAGATAGACACTCTAACCATTTGACCACCGATTGGTAAAGAAGTGCCCAAGAACAAGTCGATGTATATCTCAGTGTGGCGGCATTGTGTTGTAGTGAGTGAGTGAGTGAGTGAGTGAGTGAGTTGGGATTTACGCCTTTTTTACCAATAATCCAGCAAATATCAGGGCGGGGGCCACAAGAAATTGGCTTCACACTTGTGGGGAATCGAATCCGGGTCTGCCGCGTGACGAGCGAACGCCTTTCCCACTATGCTACCCCACCGCCCTGCATTGTGATGGATCAAAGTCTGTGTACCTCGTGTGATAAATATTATCACAACCCTTGATGCATTGAATAACCCCTTTATTCCATAATCAAAATCGCAATGATAATATGTATGCATGTTAAAATAGTACGCATTTAGAATGAAGTGTGAACAGCACTGTGATTGAGTTACTTTCTGGAACCTTTTCAACCGATACATTTCTTATACAAGACATGGTACTTGAGTATAATCGTATATTTAATACTGGTAAATACAAAACCAAGGACGCTGAACATTTCCCGCTGGAAATCCTAGGGTGAATTTTAACAATAAGAAACCAGTGGGAATGTCCTGTAATAATTATAGGTACTACACTCTGTTGGTCATAAACAAAATTATACCAGCCAATATAAAAGGTGCTCTGTCATGCATGCTGCAGTATATCTGTTATTCCCCAGCACAAGTGTGATATATTCTTAAACACCGAAGCTTCTAGTTAAAGCGAAGTATAGGACGTGTACTTATTTTTGAATGCCATGTGACGGAATAAGTATAACGATTAAGTCACATTTCCTCGCGATTCAAACGGAATTCCCCTTTTGCATGACCTATAAATATTACATAAGATCAATTTGTGATTTCTGGATTAAAAGCATGTTTTGGTGGACAACATGGCTGTTGCTCTGTTGTACCGAGCTGCCGTACAGTGAGGAATGCACAAAGGATTTGTACTAGGTATATCAAAGAACACAAGGAAACCAACGCACTAGTTTGAGTGCGTGACCGACTATAACAGAACGTACACATCTCAGCCAATCAGCGACGATCTGCCTCAACCCGCTCCAGCACGTTATAACCTACCAGTCAGACAGCGAATCGTCAGTTGAGCGTTTTCAGCCTTACAGGAAGGATCGTCGCAGCGAGAAATCGTGTTCTTTGTTTGAATTTCTTTGTTCGGATTTACCTTTGAATAATGACTTGGACAGTATTCAGAGAAATGGACACCTGCAGTTCTAATAAGTAAGTATTTATTAATATAGCATTTAATATTTGTTCAAATATTGCATCGACTTATCCTGCTGAGTACATTGTGTGTGCGCAACCAGCTGTTGTCATGCTCCGATTGCACTAACGTCGTACTAAGGTTTAATGTCGTGTTGTAGGCATATCTGAATATAATTTAATAATTCTGGCATAAAATGTCTGCCACCTTGTGCATTCGCTGTTTATTTGCACCTTTATGTTACTCACCCCATGTTTATTCGAACTTGTGACTTAGGCGGTGACATTGTTTGGGAAACGCCCGTGACACATCCCCAATCCGATTGAATTTGGGAAGGGTGGTGCTCACCATATTTGTCTTAGTCTGCTGCACTAAGGCGACTCGGAGAGATACACGTTGACAATGTTCTCCCGATATTTGTAAACTGGGTGTTTCCTCATCCAGCAACAGATCACTGTTGTCTGAACTACGAAACCCTGCGAAAACTGGTGTCAAATTCTTCTTAATGCTCGTGCGCACTTGTAAGATTGCGTCCACATTATGATTTGCATTTTAGTGTTAATTCTTGCTTGTCAACTGTCTCTGATGAACAAATACCGAGTCGTGATATGGCAGTCTGGCTAACCAGCTGACTGAAACAACGCGTGACTTAGCGTGACGTCAGCGAGATTTGCTGATGGTGTTTGCTCCACGCTGTCAGCTAGTTTTCGCTGTTGTGAAACGTCACCAGTTCAATACGCCTCACGTGGCGTCAAATGAAACCAAACTACTTTATTTCATCATTAGAATAGAATTTTGCAGAAGCCTACCTGCCATGTTGTGGATCGCGATGATCCTTGGCTAGTGAGTCATGCTAAGGAGAACACCTTAGACGAATCGTGACTAACCGAGTTTCGAAACTGCCTTCTCACGCCACTGTGTTAACCCACTGTTGTTATTTTGCAGGAAACTTGTTGACATTGGAGACGCATTGTGCAAAGCTTTGGTCCAAGCCCACACCACCAACAGGGTAACAAGTGGTGTTATGGAGTGTGCCAAGCTCCTCCGCTGTAACCCTGACAACGTGATGCTGTGCGTGCTGCCGGAGGCGAGTGGACAGCATGACGTCACACTGGACATCCAACACACCCTCATCGAGGCGTTTTGTTGGGAGAATGACATCCCGCTTATTAAGGTAAATATGAAAATTTGTTATGTGAATTGAATTGTGATATGTGCTGATTGAATTATTAAAAAAAATAATAATACCTAATCAAGAAATAGTGATATTTTAATGATTAATTTTGATATCACCGATTGTCCGATATCTGCAAACTTGGTTTTCCTTTTAACAAGGATGCTTACACTGAACAGAGCACTTGTGACGTCACCGAGTTGTCTCTTTCCTTGAAACTGTTTTTCATTACTTCCTGAATCCTGGTGTGTCATGAGTAGTTGAGTGAGATGTCCCACTGATAACATAGTCCATATTTACAATTGTATCACTGCAATTCGAAGTGATGTTGAATCATAGGATAATTTTTTCTGCCATACATAAATATTTTGCTTTTTATCCTTGTGAAAATGTTGAAAACGACATTGCTATAAATATCTGATCTTGGTTTTGCAGGTTGACAGCGAAGAAAAACTTGCCAAGACCTTATCAAATGAAGATGAAAATAACAACGGTGGCATTGTCAGATGTCAGTCAACTGATGTCAGTTGTCTCTTGATTGAGGTAAGCATCAGTCACACTTATTTTCTCGAGAATTTTTAATGTGGCACCATCGTTTGAAGTTTATATTTTTATGGTGAGAATCGTTTTGTAGGTGTTTTTATCATCTATGATTATGGTGTAAGGTCGTGCAACATCTTCTTTAACTTAGTTCTAACCTTCTTGTATTTGTCAAACAAATATCGATTTGAATTGTCATTAAACATTTTGCTATTACGTTGCTGTTACTGACTTGTGTTCTCTTGTTTTCAGTTCGCCAAAGGGGCAACCACTCCGGAGGACGTTTTATTGACGGACTATGTCGCTGACGTCATCAATAATGATGTTTACCCGAAGCCTGTAATCGAACTGCCTGTTTGAAATCTACATCACCCATTTCTGCTTCACTTATACACCAGGTGCGTTGAATGGCTGACAAGGGATGTCAACTGCAAACAGATTTAAAATCAGAGTGCAATTATCGTATATACTTAAAAAAACAAAAAATCAAAGAAGATTGTTTTCATGAGAAAACATATATGTGACTTTGAAAGGCATTATTTTTTATTTACCTTCTATTTTTATCCTTTAAAGGTAATCCCAAACCTGGTGAAAGAGATAACCAGTCACCAATTGGTCATCACTGGCCAAGTCGTCATGGCGACCGAGGTGCACCAGCCAATCAGACGCAAGTTCAGGGTTGATCATCCAATCAGATTACACCAAGAGGGATGGCGCCGGCAGCAGATTCGAAACCGCGGTCTGTGAAGTGACTCCTGTGCTGACCTACACGATTGTTGATGCGGTCCTGGTGTAGATAAACCTTGATTTGGGCGACCAGATTTGTAACCAAGACTGGCAGGCCTTTTGCATAAGTCACCCAACTCATTATTGAGATGAATGCCTGTATTCGCAACAGGAGAGGTGGAGAAAACTGACGCGAGTAACGGACACGCTCGTCACATTCATCATTATGCTAATTATTGTTATCAGTTGAAATCATTATTAGTGTTAAAATGTTCTGTTCTATTTCTTGTACATCTAATCCTTTTTCATGTTTGTTTTTTTGGTTAGTTCCTTTTTATTATGTTTAATAAATGAAGAATTTAGAATTATGGTTGTTCTTATCTGATAACCAGCTTAGTTGATTGGATGAATAGGTGAGCTGAAGAAGAGTGTGCGCACGCATGTGTGGCTACTGATGCAGGTCGTCTCAATAGTGGCCACTAACTGAGTGAGTGAGTAAGTGAGTTGAGTTTTCCGCTGCACTCGGCACTATTCCAGCTAAATAGCGGTGGTCTGTAAATAATCGAATGGGGACCAGACAATCGAGTGATTCAAAAGCATGAGGATCGATCTACGAAATTGGGATACGATGACGTGCCAACCAAGTCAGCGAGCCTGACCACCCTAGTCGCATGGGTTACTGAAGATCAATTCTAACCTGGATCGGCAGCCAACTGAGATTCCATGCTGCTATTTAACATGGAAACTGCCATATAGCTGGAATATTAAGATAGCGGCGTGTTAAACGAGGGACAAACGTTAACATGGCAACTCCACTCAGGAAAAGTATGCTGACTGAGCTGACCAGTCCAGCTAGTGCCGACGCCAGACAGGGTACAAACAAGTTCCATGTTTTAACGTTAACAATCGGTTCTCCGAGTCGGCCTACTGATCTACCGTGGCCTATCTGAGCTCCTATTATGCAACTCAATACAATGTATTTGCTACGGACCAAAATAGTCACCTTTACTCGAAAGAGTGGTGTGTATATACATACATTCGGAGCGGCGGGGTAGCTTAGTGTTTAGAGCGTTCGCTCGTCACCCCGAAGGCCTGGGTTCGATTCCCCACATGGATACAATGTGTGAAGCCCATTTCTGGTGTCCCCCCGCCGTGATGTTGCTGGAATATTGCTAAAAGCATGTTCACTTACTCACTCACTGTATATAATTTCAATTCAAAAGAATACATCTTTTGAGTCGTAGAGTTTTACGGTTTCAAATGGGCGACGCTGTAATGTCTGAGACGGGCAGTCAACTTGTAAACATTACCATGGGTATTCCGGTGTTATACTTGGTCGAAAACAACTCCATTTTGAGTGTGCTGGGGTTAAGAGGCGACCAAATGTAAGGTTCCTGAACATGGTGGATAGTGTGTCATAATACACCTGGATAGTTTGGTCGCATGCACGCACGCATACGTGGTCGTACAAAAACATACATGCACACCCACACTCAGACACGTGGTCGTACGAACAATATAGTATTAAATACATTGCATGTGGTCACAAACCAACTGATGGGATACCAAGACCCAGGGCCTACATTTTCGAAGCTCTCTTAACGCTCAGATAGTCGTAAATTAATGTTAATGAATGGCACTTACGACTATTTTAGCGCTAAGAGAGCTTCGAAAATCTAGGCCCTGTTAAGCAGGGGCGGTCGGGTGGCTCAGTGATTCGGGCGTTCGCTCCCCACATGGGTACAATGTGTAAGGCAATTTCTGGTGTTTCCCGCCTTGATATTGCTGGAATATTGCTAAATGCGGCGTAAAACCACACTCACTCACTCACTCACCTAATCTTTGGGGACGCATCTCCCTGCGTAGTGAATTGAGGCGAGGAGGCCAACACCAGTGTCTCCGGCGTGAACGAGCGAATGTGACAGACTGTAAGATCTAAATGTACGAACAATGCCAAGGTGGGATTCGAACCCGCGACCAGAGGTTTCTATAGCCTTTTGTTCGGGGACGCATCTCCCTACACAGTGAATTGAGGAATCGTTGCAAAACAAAATAATTCACCCTTATCAATTTCGACTGTCAGAGCTATAGATCGATACACACTTCATTCATAACATGCGCCATCTGTTGTTTATTTCACAACGTGGTCTTCAACTGCCTTTTGTGGCATGTCAATATCTGCACTTTCGCTGTGAACGAACTCATGTAATAGCTTCAATAAAAGTACATGTGCCCACCAAGCGATTGAAACCAGTGACATATGGCTGAAATATATTTGCTTGACATTTGTTGTGCGAACACAACAGCTTGAGCAAAAACTATCACTAATTTAATCTCATGTTTCGTTTGTTCATTTCGATTCGTTTCATCATTTTATTCATTCATTCATTCATTCAGCTTGATGTCACTGAAATATAGTTTGCACCAGTTTGCTCAGTAACGCGTAGGCCGTAACAGATTCATGCACTGTTACACAGTATTTCGCTACAGCAAAACAGCTTGCAGGAATGATCAGAGTTAATGAGTGAGTGAGTATAGTTTTACGCCGCTTTATATCACGCCAGCAATGTAGCGGCGGGAGACACGAGAGTGAGTGAGTGAGTGAGTGAGTTTGGTTTTACGCCGCTGTTAGCAATATTCCAGCAATATCACGGCGGAGGACACAAGAAATGGGCTTCACACAATGCACCCATCGGGAATCGAACTCGGGTCTTCGACGTGACGAGCGAACGCTTTGGCCACACTGAGCTACCCAGCATTCACGATAGCAGCTGTGAAGTAACAGAAGAAAGTACTACTCCCACCTGCAATCATGTCGGTAGCGGTAATGGAGAGGACTGTGAGGGCCTATCGACCATTTCGCATATCATTAACCCGCCAACATCTTCGTTAAGACAGGGAACGTGATGCGCTGGCAACGTGGTAATTGGGTGCGGTATCACTGGTGTATTGGCAACACGTACAGGAGTGTTTTTAATTGAAAGTCCAATCTCAGAACACTTTTCAAAATGTTGACGTCTTTCTCTGGAAAATAGTCCCAAAGTTCCAGATGTATACTTTCTTTTGTACGTCAGTTTAGCTCATGGGATATCATGTATGGCTAATATCGGGGATATCATGTATGGGTGATATCGGGGATACCATGTATGGTTGATATCAGGGATACCATGTATGGTCGATATCGGGGTTATCGTGTATGGGTGATATCAGGGATGTCATGTATCGGTGATATCGGGGATACCATGTATGGTTGATATCGGGGATACCATGTATGGTTAATATCGGGGATATCATGTATGGTTGATATTGGGGATACCATGTATGGTTAATATCGGGGATATCGTGTATGGTTGATATCGGGGATGTCATGTATGGGTAATATCGGGGATACCATGTATGGGTGATGTCGGGGATACCATGTATGGGTGATATCGGGGATACCATGTAAGGTTGATATCGGGGATATCATGTATGGTTAATATCGGGGATACCATGTATGGGTGATGTCGGGGATACCATGTATGGTTGATATCGGGGATACCATGTAGGGTTAATATCGGGGATACCATGAATGGGTGATATCAGGGATACCATGTATGGGTGATATCGGGGATACGATGTATGGGTGATATCGGGGATACCATGTATGGGTGATATCGGGGATACCATGTATGGTTAATGTTAGCATGCAAAATATTATATTTGTAACTTTGTTAGGGTTTGTGCGTGAGAGGCTGCATGTGCTAGTATATAGAAATTAGTCGAGACATAAGAATCTGTCAGACCCTGCTGCCAGCAGATGTCCGAGCTACATTCACAGGACTGGTGGCAGCTGTGATTTACCACTGGAACTAAGACTCATAGACTAATTGTCTTTGAGGGGTCCTATGGGTTCTGACCTGATCAACCACAATAAGTGGCCGACCAAGAATTTATGTGACACATGTGGAATGAAAGAGTGTGAGAAAGGAACAGAGAGCTTTAAGATACCGAAGAAGTAAGACATGTTTGTAAGTTTCTGAGAGAGAATTGTAGGATTGTGTGTTGTGGGCTAAGAGGACATACGGTTTTTCAACCTGTCCAGCCACTGTCAGCCACCGTGCAGCCACTGTCCATTCATTGTTTAGACATGTTTTAGTTACTGTCAAAATTAATGTTTAGGTACTGTTATTCTGTCATTGTGTGGATTGTATTTAGAAGAAGTGAAATAAGAAAGCTTGGAACTTGAGATTAAAGGACGTTTTGAAATCACTGGACTGAGTTAAAACTTTTACATCCTCTACCCCCAACAGCGAGATAATTTAAGAACTCACAGTTAATATCGGGGATATCATGTATGGTTGATACCGGGGATACCATGTAGGGTTAATATCGGGGATACCATGTAGGGTTAATATCGTGGATACCATGTAGGGTTAATATCGGGGATATCATGTATGGCTGATACCGGGGATACCACGTAGGGTAAATATCGGGGATACCATGTAGGGTTAATATCGGGGATACCATGTAGGGTTGATATCGGGGATATCATGTATGGCTGATACCGGGGATACCATGTAGGGTAAATATCGGGGATACCATGTAGGGTTAATATCGGGCATACCATGTAGGGTTAATATCGGGGATATCATGTATGGCTGATACCGGGGATACCATGTAGGGTAAATATCGGGGATACCATGTATGTTTAATATCGGGGATACCATGTATGGGTGATATCGGGGATACCTGGGATACCATGTATGGTTGATATCGGGCATATATCTTTGATGACCATTATGAGTCGGGGATGAAGTTACAAACAAAGACTACACACATGCATGTTTATAACGGTTTATACTATTTTCACCAATTCAACAGTTATCCATATGCGCTAAGCAGATGAGTAACACAATCATACGAGTTTTTCACGACACCAGTAATGATTCCACGACCTCCATCCGTGTTTTGGTGGTGTACTATATCAACACATTTGAGGATGTCCTTGGGCGGAGTACATATGATACACATACTGGCCTTCCAAGCATGATCTTCCAAAGCGCGGGTTTACAGGACTATTACAGTACGGATTAACGAGGGTTTGCATATTTGCGAGAGTGAGTGAGTTTAGTTTACGCCGCTTTTTGCAATAGTAATACCACGGCCGTGGACACCGGGAATGGGCTTCGCACACACTGTGCCCATGTGGGCAATCGAACCCGGGTCTTCGGCGTGACGAGCGAGCGCTTTAACCACTAGGCTACCCCACCGCCCTTATATGCGAGAACTGATGATTGTCCAACTAGTATACCAACAAGTAGTATATGTGAAGATCTGGGTTTTGATCATCATTATCTTAATTATCTTCGAACCGTAAAGATCC